GGGGCGGCTCGGAGGAAACTTCCCCGCTCCCGCGCTCCAGGCAGAGCCGGGCGCTGATTGGGCGCAGGGCGAAGTGGGGGGCAGGGCACCACCCCGGGCAGAGCCCCAGGCAGCCCTCCCGCACCAGGCCCTCTCACAGGAGGGGTCTCATCGTCCGTGAGCTCCCTCCCCAGACTCTCTGGTCAGCCTGGAGGGCACAGCCCCACTGGCACCCACACGGCACCCCTCTCTGGCCTGTGCTCAGCCCCTCCAAAGAGAAAATCAGACTCAAGGGGTCATGAGCTGGTCATCCAAAAAGATGGAGCCCCCAACCCCAGCAAAAAACACCCCCTCCCCCCCAAACCAGCAGCCAGTTTTGAAAACACAGGTAGTGAATGCTGCTGCTGCTGGATCTCAGTCATATGCTCTCTAATCAGCGTGAAGCTGCCTTGTTTAAGAGCACTTCAATAACTCAGCCCTTCATACTGACATTGGTAAATCTTTATGGCAGGAATAGTTTCCACTCTGTGTCTCAAAAGTGCCTTGTACAATAGATCCCCCCTCCCCAAGGAACTGCTGTAACCAAAACAATAAACCTTAAGAGTTGGCTGACTGTCCCTGCTGCTAGTATATTGTGAAAAGGCAAGTAAGGGCTATTGGAAAAATGGAAGAAAACCCAAGGCAACAGGGCTCCTTTAGCACATAAAATGAGAGAGACATTTAAGCAGGTTAAAACCACTAACAGCTATTAGGAGACTTTTACTATTTAGATTCTGTGACTGTTCAGGTTCTGATCTGCCTCCAAGCCAGAGAGCCATGAACTTGCCAGGGAATCAAGTTATAATTGATGGCTCCAGTGAAGCCATACCAGATACACAGGAACCAATTCACTGAGGCTACCTTATAGGCATGCAACAGGGTAAAGCCCATCACCTACACTGAGTGAATGATGAGAGGGTTCGGAGCTTAATGGGCAATTCACAGCATGGAAGCAATTCAGCAAACTTCGTTCCCCATGCCCTCCATGGCAAAGTGTCTGGATTGTTTGTGAAAGTCTCCTCCTTTCCTCAAACCAATTAGTGATTTTTTTCCAATGAATGTAGATAACTTGAACAAGCATGTGAACAATTTTCACAATTCACACAGCACTGAAAGGATTCACTCAAGTCATGTGGTATTATTTCTACTGACAGACTAAATGGTACACATACTGCTAAGACAAGTCTGCAAACTGTAAATCTGACAATAAGATACAGCCTGATGTTCACTTTTGCCCAGCATGTGTGACTCAAAATTCCCAATTGAATTTGGAAAACGGACCCAAATCCTGGACTGTGCAATGGCATCATTGTAACTAGTCAGCTAGCATGGCCCAAAAGCCATGGTCAGCTAGCACGGCCCAAAAGCCACAAGTAAATCACCCCACTAGATGATGGCATAACACTGGTATAGAAGCAGTCAATTCTCTCTGTGCCTTAGATCCCCAGAAGTCCCCAGATGCTGCACTGGTTGCTCAGGCAGTCAGCAGTTGGTAAACTTTTAAGATAACCCTTAATCTGTTGTAATACAGGGTACAGAACCTAACTAATGCAAAGCCAGACTGGGGTTGGGGAAGGCAATGGTGAACTGAAACCACTGTTGCATGCACATCCACCCTTACTTCTTTGCCACAGCCAAAGGTCTGGTCAACTGCTTTCCATGATGCACTCAGCTCTAGGCAAATCTACATCCAAATGTTTCCTTTTCTTGTGTCTGCAAGACTGAGAATTTCTGTCCATACACACAAGTTTCTCTCAGCCCCTACAAGAAAATAGACACAACACCTGGTCTGCAGAGGGTTTAGAGCAGAGGTGGGCAAAATATGGCCTGTCAGTCAGATCCAGCCCACCAAGGGATTTTATCTGGCCCATGGTGAGTCCCTTGGCCTCGCCCAGTCCAAGGATGGGGTCAAACCCCACACACCCACTCAGCGGTGGGTGCATGGTGGACAAGCCCAGGTCAGATAGGATCAGTTGCTCTCCCTCCCCCATCCACCGCACTAGGTCAGCACCTTCCACCCCCACCGTGCCAGTCCAGGTCAGCACCCCACCCCACCCCTGCACAAAACAGCTTACCAAAACTCCCTAAGAAGTCCTCCAGCCCAAATAATTGCCCATCCCTGGCTTAGAGGTTTTAAACAAGGAAGGGGAAAGGAAGATAAATATTTGGGCTTACCAGGCTCATTCCACCCTTGGGTCACTGTCAACGTCAGAGCTGCCACAGTGACAGGCTTGGCCCACTGCCCTGCAAGCCAGACTCAGAAGTGGTTCCCAGCTATTGCCAATACTTTGCTAAGTCTGGGGGGCAGTATTGATGGCTGCTGAATCCAGTCCAATGGATTCACTTCAGACAAGATGCTTCCCTAAGCAAGTCAATTACAATTTTCTCCCTCCCCTCCTGCGCCACATTAGGAATGATGTTGCTGTTCCTATTTCAACCATTTAAGCTCATGTTAATTAACCTTGCAGTCTGGCAAATTGCCCAAGACTGAGCCCCAGACCAGCCAAGCTCCCATCTCATCATATCTGAGCTCCCTGACTTGAGTTGCTTGGAGGTCCAAGTGTTTTCTCATTTGCATCAGGTTTGTTCATAGATGAGCTTTGCACTCTCACTGGGACAATGCTGGGCTCTCATTATTAATCAAATCAGGCACCTTCTGACTGAATGGATAGCAGTGGGGAAAAGGGCTTCAGCATTCTCCACCTGTCCTGCTGTTTCACACACACAGTATGGTTCCAGACACCTCCAGGACAAAGATAACCTGCTTTCTCCAATGGAAGTAGAGGGAATGCTTCCTTGGACCTCTTCATCCTCCCTCCTGCCCCCAGCATTGGAGAGAATGGGGTATGGGACTAGCTCCCCCCACCTTCCCAGTGGGCACCAGGGACATGGCCTCACTTCCCTCCACAGGGTACCAGATAGAATATTATTTTGTTCTGGTATGGAATACAAGGGGGGAGAGAGGGAGACGGAGGAAGGAAAGTAGAGAGAGAGACAGAGAGAGATGCTTCTCACAAGAAGTGCTGAAGATTCTGGAGCAAAATTGTCCCAGCCACCAACAAGGTGCAGAATCCATTTCCCAAGAGGATCATTACCATTCTGTGTAATGGCTTCCAACCTAGCACACAGCTCTGCTGGTATACTGCTGGCCAATGGGAAACGTGACTAGCACACAGATGTTTAAACATCACAAAGGGCCTACACATTCAGAGCTGGTGAAATGTTTTGTGAGTAAAAGAGAGCAGGAGGAAGGTAGGCTGGCAAGGCAGTGGAGTGGAGCCCTCTGCATGTGGAAGGATTTGGGGAGGAGAAACTGATAAGCTCCAGAACCAGGCTGGGGATCAGGGAATCAATATATCTGCCTATTCATGGCCTGACCTTGGCTATAGACAGACATAATAATTGTACTGATACCAAAGGGTATTGAAAGAAGAACCACCTGTGTGATGCTGTAGCGATACAGGTGTAGCAAAACTGCTCCAATTTTAACCCTACCTCATTCTGGGTTGAAGTCAATGTGACTTAGGTAAGATATACTGCTACAGCAACATGCATATGTAACAGCTATCCTGTTAGCCAAAGCACAATCCTGAGCAGCAGCTCCCCCTACAAAGTTTGCCCCCATTCTTTGAAAGGTAATATTTTAGCATAGGCCCTTATTTAATTTTTTTTTAAAGTGATGTTGTACTACTTGTAGACCTGACCATACACCCCTGAAGCCAGTGGAAGTTTTGTAACTGACTTCACTGGGAGCAGAATCAAACCCGCACAGAAGCACAGATGTCAGTAGTGACATGCCATCATTTGGAATGTTAATATAAAATTACCAGGATATGGGGACCTGCAAGCTTTGACATTTTCCTAATCTCTTTAGATTTCAAAAACATGCAAGACCAGCCCACTGAACACCACTGGGCCATTTCAAAGTCCTGATCTACAGACACCATAAGGATGTTTCCCCAATCGCATGAGGCAACAGGTCTTCAGCATCTCTCCCCAGAATAGGTTTACATGCATGCTAGAAGTCTTTCTGCTGCCAGAGTGCCATCTACTGGCTGTTTTTATTACATCTTTGCAACTGAAGAGCAGCCAACAGGCCAGCCTACCTCTTCACAAAGTGACATTACTGTGTCATCCGACAGGCATCTCACATTGCCAGGACATGACAGTGACAACAACAACTTCTCAGAAAAGGTAAAAGGAGTGCAAATTTAAATCCTGTTCTCCTTCTGGAAGCTCCCTGTTATCAAATGCCATTCCCGCATAATTATCTAAAACAGTGGTAGCCAGCCTGCGACAAGTGCCACAAGTGGCACAGGCAGCTTCTGTATAGCATGCAGCAAACTGGGAAGGGGACAGGCAGCACAAAGGTAGAACAGGCAGGGAACAGAAAGCAGAGCATCAGATCACAC